ATTTAATGCAGAATCACTTCCCAGGGGTATGAGAGGCGTGCTCATACATAGATAAGTCTTTCTTTCAGTCATTCCAATTCGCCCGAGGATGTTGAATTGTTGGTGTGACTCAAAGTGTTGCCACCGGTTAATTCCACACACTGTCAGCCTTAGACTCACACAGGTCGACTCATACAGCCGCTATATTTATGCATTTCATTTCAAGAGCTGTCTGGGCAATTACTGCCGGCACTTTAGCATGCCGCCGGATTTAAGCGGGAATAATGATTGGCATGAGAAATTTGTTAGCCCCGCGCTGTACCTGACGGGTTAGTAATTAAAGAGGGCAGGAGATTATTGTGTGCAACTCAAGAGAAAGACATCAGGAGACGAGTCTTTCATGTAGCACAGCTGGAGAGGGAGGGTCCACGGGTGACGTGGTTAGACTTGATCCTGATAATACCCAAGTTCCTGACTTTATCTCGTGTGACTTATCATGATGAGTCCTTCCTTCAAAATTGCTAATTTTAATCCGACTTGAACCAGCCTCCTTACTGCTCAACCTTTGAACCTTATCCTTAGTTCTACCCACTAGGTTCCACATTTTGCACCTATGACTGCTCACCGTCACACATTACAAAAAAGCATCCAAACTTGTAATGAAATATTTCAGGATTACTATCAGGAAGGGCCTGTGACATCCCAGAGCGGCTGATATGAGTGGCCCCGCTGCTTCGTTGGAATTTTATTCAACTTCTTGGATCGTACTCGAAATGAGACATCTGCTGTCCAAAGCCATAAATTATTCGTTTGAGAAATATCAATAACATTTGTCCAAGATCTCATGTTCGGTAAGGACAGAACAAGTGGAACTAATCAGCCGATCCATGCTTGCCCACACAGTTTGGATTGAGTGCCTCGAGTCGAGCTGCTCAGACTGTGCGGAGTCTCTGATGGCGAGTCGTACCACCTGTTTGGCCCTCGTCTCTTCTCTGCTCAGTGAGGCAGAAGATGAAGCACTTTACATCTTAGTGATCCTCCTACTCCTGCTCATCACTCTTCATAAAACCTCCTCCCAACACCCCCCCCCCCCCACACACACACACACACACACACACTTTCCCAGTATTCTGCAAAATGAGCAATGAACCAGTCTGTGTGCCGCCCCCCCAAACAGCAGAGACACGCATCATTTCAATCTGATGATGACTGTGATGAGCCAAGAGACAGTCCTCCCCCATCAGCAAACTGAGACAGCCAGGCAACACACACAAACACACACACAAACACACACAGCACACAAGGGACTGACACACTGCTCTGTTTACACTTCAGATTTACTTTCAGAACCAGCAGATGGCTGAGAAGTCGACTCAACTTGAGGTCTTGTCCACCCAAAAACTGTTTCCTCTCATTCTTCTCAGAGTTCGAAGACATGTGCAGATTTTTTAGGTCTGGTTTCAAAGCCTTACTCCATTTAAAACCACATGGTTTCAGAGTTTTCCCACCACATTAAGGCTTACTGGTAGTGTAACTGAAGGTGGCTTCATCTGGATAAACTTGATCTCCACGTCCGATCAGACTAAACCTCGAGGCTTGTCTGAGAAACAAACTTTTAGGTTAAAACTTCTAGGTTAAAACTAGGGTGACCATATGTCCTCTTTTACCCGCACATGTCCTCTTTTTTGGGGGCTGTCTGGCTTTGTCCAGGGGAGTTGAAGAAATCCTTCAAATGTCCGGGATTTTGTATGGAAGTTTTGAGTTTGTGTCGTGTGGAATTACTGGGTTAGGAGACCGTAAAAACACTTGACCTGACCCGAGAAACTCTAAAATTAACCATGCGTGACTCAGTGACCCCACCCCCACATGGCTGTGTCCTCTTTTTGGGGATTCAGACTATGGTCACCCTATTCATGTACTTATATTTCTAATGGTCTTGTCCATCCTAGAAGTGTGTACTGTACCAAAAGTTAAAAGTGTATTGCTTTTATTGTGAGATAAGAAAATAATGAAAATCTGTTGTGCAAAAACTATGACCATCCCCATTTCTAAGCATTTATTTACTTTATAAAGCTGCAGAAACTTGGAGATGAATTTGTATCCAATGCAATTAAATCATCATATACATGCAATACATATAGTACATAAATAGGGTGACCATACTCTGAATCCCCAAAAAGAGGACACGACTACTCAGGGTGGAGTCACGGAGTCGAACGTAGTTAATTTTGAGAGTTCAGATCAAGTGTTTTTTACGCGCTTCTAACCCAGTAAGTCAGCGCGACACAAACTCACGACATTTGAAGGATTTTATAAACTCCCCCAGACAAAGCCGGACAGCCCCCAAAAAAGAGGACATGCCCGGGTAAAGAGGACGTACGCTCACCCTATACATGAATAATGTATGTTTCAGAGAGCATAGGTTCTCAGTCCAGGACTGAGTTTCTGCGATTAAAAAATACATTTTGTATTTTCACAAGCTACAAGAAAACACAATCCTAACCCAAACCTCCCATTAGGATGTTGAAAAACCTCAAAGAAGCAGAAATTACCTCAGAGATGCAAAATAAAAGATCCTCAGAGACCAAAAACGAAAACAAAAACAGATGATTTCTAACAAAGAAGTGTAAAATGAAAACGAAATGATCTCACATCAAATATCAACCTGACAGAGAAACTAAATGACCCCCACTCCTAACAAAGACACAGAATAATCTAAAATAAGATCTGTTACTTAATGATCTCACAACAAAACAGCTCAAAATGACACTGACTGACATCCCAAAGGAACAAACAAACACACAAGACACTGACTGACCTCGAAATAAAGAAACAACTACAGAGAGTCGGACTGACCTCATGATACGAACAAACGACCACAAAGAGACGCTGACCGATGTCTTTAGAAATATCAAACAACCACAGCGGGACACTGACTGACCTCAAACAAAATAAATCAATTATAAAGAGACACTGACTGACCTCAGAACAGGAACAAACAACCCCAAAAAGACAGTTAATAACCGATCACCAAAACAAACCCAGACATTAACACTCCATCACTGTTGTCAGTCAGAGTGTCTGTTGCCTATCCGTTGATAAATATAAAGTTTTGACAGTTTCCTGAACTTCTCGTCTGACTCAGAACTTTTCGGAGTGGATGCGGTGCCTCCATGTTTTATGACATGTAATTTGACAGAATCCATTTAGAGCGGAGGAGAGCCTGAGGATTTGCATTTTAATCATGAATTTAGATTTGCCGGGGTTGATTACTTTCATTCTCTGGCAGCAGGTTAATTATGTGATCTCAGCTCTGCAACACTGTGGACTTACTTGTGTCATTACTTGAGTGAATAATATAATGAGATTCTGTCATCCAGAGGCAGTTTGTCTGATACTTTGGCACTTGTAACCATTGATACCTACTTCACCTATATCAGCGCTCGCTTATGCGACGAGCCGGTCTGAAAAATGGTCAAACACGCATTGCGAGAATGACCGCATTCCCTCGATTGTTCTTGTTGGAGGTTTCTCAATGATTTCCATCTATTGACTCCCATGCTTGGCCAGTCGGCTCGGCTGTAACGCCGCTCTGCACAGACTCAGTCCACTGGGAGCCCTGCTTAGCTCTGTGTGCACAGGGAAGGGGAATTAGTGTGGGCTTTCAAAGGAGGGCTGCTGGAGGGATCTGCTATGCATCGAAAATCATTGCTGCAAGCGGTTCCCAGTGGACGGGGGCAGGGCTGATTTGTAAGCCCAGTAGGTGGGGAAGGGCATGGATGGAGCATGTCATGAATGTTTGTTTTGTGGTTTTCTTCCATTAAAAACGTCCTTCTTGCGTTAATCATATTACCCTTTGGGTGCCATCTTTGGCCACTTGGGAGACAGTGCCGGTTTTCATATCAATTAAACTTTAATTCCCCATACTTGGAGCAGATTGCATCCTGAAATATACTTAATCTACAGGCGGCTGAACGCGCACTTTAATCAGGCAGCGAGAATCACAATCCCACCAAACAAGACGTGGATATACAGAGAGAGAGAGAGAGAGAGAGAGAGAGAGAGTTCCTGTGTTGTCGTCTTTAAACAGATTTCTTTCCTCACTTTAGTCTGGCATCTGTTGAGGCCAAGACTCAGACATCTATATGTATGAAACTGAAAGTGATGCAAGGAAACTCGGCATCTGTGAAATGTGATTTCAATTACTCTGACTGGTCAAAGCATTTCCATATCTGTGATTGCTTTTTTCCATAATGTATACAATGTATTCAGCGGGGACAGTATCCAGGGAAGGAGGATGTTTTTCCTGCATTGTGAGTGAAGAAAACTCAATTTGATAAACAGTTAGCAAAAGCTATTGTTTGCTGATGTTATCGCGAGCAAAATGGGAGAGAGGAGCGGCTTACAAATGAGGTTTGAGGTTGTTGTTTTTTTTCGATTCTGTGGTTTATTATTTTCCAGTCAGATGAGGAAATGGTTTGCTGCTGGCTATAACCGTGGAATTCCATCCGTTTTCTTCCCCAACATTTAAGCTCCGCCCCCAGCTTGGCGGTTTAAGAGCGACTGATAAGGACCCTGACATATTCAGTGCAAGGAAGCAAAGAAAATCCCATTAGTATCCTGCTGTCCACCCACAGTATAACTTTTTCAGTGCTTTTTCTAAATGTAATCTTTGTTTTCTCTTTTTATTGGTCTGTCGATATTTGCCAATTTAAATTCTACCTCCCCCTCCCGCCCCTGCTGTGCAGTTCAGCATCAGACATCTCAAATCTAACCTTTCCATCTCTGGCCATCAGACGAACTCTAAATGTCAGTGATGGATCTTTCTCTGAGACTCTGGGCAATCAGGGATCCTTTTGATGCACCAAAACACGTCTCATCTTCATTTGGAGTTCATTTGAAAAAGAAGGTCTATCCCATTGTGTGAGCCGGTCTGTAGAGGGAAGGGGGAGGCGAAGGCCAGATGAGACCCCATCTGGATGGACGTCGCTTCCTGCCAACCCTCACCCCAGTGGCCCAGGATGCTCCCGACTCATCAGCAGCCATCAAAGGGCGTCTGCCCACCAGCCAGAGAACCCCGAGTGGGCTGCCAACTCGACAAGCCCCTCGCCTCATTACTGACAGAAAGGGGCGAAAGCGGGGAGCTCCTCAATCATTCAACCACCCGCAGGTCCCAGGGTGGACATCCCCCGGACAAAATGTTTGAATATTGGGCTGGTGAGCTTGACACAGATACGCCTAACTTCAGTCTATTTCAATGACATAAAAAAAAAAAACTTACTGTCTCCACACACTGAGCGCAAGTAAAATCATTCGCATGAATGAATTACATGTTAAGTCAATGCAAAGACGCGATTAGATGCTCCTACTACTCTGGCTCTACTATCTTTTCTTTCAATTACCGAAACCGGAATAAAATACATACCTGGTATGTCGTTAAAAAAAAAAAAAGAAAACATCTGTCAATTGATCCCGCTGGTTGAATTGGTCGGCATTACCATTGAAATCACGGTTGACGCGCAAACAAAGCGAGTAAATACTTTTCATTCGTGCATCTAGATTCGCGTGAATTAATGCTGCGCTCGAGTTACCTCAGAAGTTAGATCTCGGAGTTGAAAATGACGTAACACCTGAGTTCCCAGCGTGTCGGTTACCAAGTCAGAAAAAAAAAATCGGAGGTCTGAAACAAAATGGCTACATCTATGAAAATCTTTTTAGCGCTTACCTTGTCCGAATATCAGGCAAGCACTAAAATAACTTTTGTAGATGTAGCCATCTTGTTTTCACCTCCGATTTTGTTGTTTTCCGATTTGGTAACTGAAACGGTATGACGTCATTTTCTGACTTCTGAGGTAAATCAAACGCACCATAAGCGAGGAGATGATTTTACTCTACTACGACGGTTTCCCTTCCTTTTCTTTTTTTAAAATGTGAGATTTGGAAAAAATCTCAATATCCTCGATCTTTATTGTTTCTCTGAGAGAGAGAGGGAGAGCAGTGTGTCTTCTATAGATGGATCCGCCTCAGGAGAGCTGATAGGAAAAGACTGCTAATATGTCAGCTGATTAAGATCAAAAGTTTGTTTGGATGAATAATCAGACACAGTTTATTGATGACAAAGTCAACACTCCTGAGGAGGAAGAGGAAAAAAAAAAAGCAAAAAGAGGCATATTCATCACCGCTCAGGAATAGAGAGGCATGTTCGGCATGACAGCGCAGCTCAGCGTGAGCCGCTGTGTTAGTTTGTGACAGAGATTTTCTTTGTGCGCACGCTTCATAACACACTCCTTTTCTTTCAGGAGAGTAAGACGACAGTAATTTGAGACAACAGAAGTCACTATTATCTCCCTGATGATGTACGACTCTTTTACAGAGACAACCTGACTCCTGCCTTTGTTCTCCTCCTTTCTTCTCTTTTCTTCTCTCTGCCAAAGTCGACAGAGAGCGATACTGAATCATTCCCAACCGCGACACCTGAGCTGGAGAGCACGGCTTTGTTTCACAGATGAATAATACAAATGTACATCAAGTTGACAGTAAACATCGCAGCTTTTGTCCATCCTGTTGAAAATCTACATTGAAACATTCATCCATTATCTATCTGCTTAACCTCTCGTCTGCTTTGGCGTCATTTTCCTCTTCATACTAATTCTACTGTCATCAAGTCTCTGCTCTGTTTTCGGTCATAATTGGGCTCCGTCTCCTTTACCCTGAGCTCTTACCAAAATAGTTTGTGTTTTATTCATTCAACAAGGCAAAATGAAGTCTCTAAATGGAGTCATTAGAGTCCATTAAATCTGAAGTGTGATGCTTTGCCTTTTCGCCCATTATCTCTCTATCACCGTCCCCATCGCCGAGCCGATCTTGAGTGGAGAGCGCGTTGGTCGTCTGGATTTGGTTTTCGATGATGGCTCTCTGGCGTAGAGTGAAACTTGTGCGTGTCTGAGGTCATGTTTCTGTTATTTGTCTTCCAGCTGCAAATATGATCGTCTTAACTCTGAGTCATGCTCCTCTACGTGCCGACCTTTATGCTCTCTGCTGATTGACAGAGTTTGGTGAAGTCTGAACCATGTGACGAACTTTCCATCATGGAGGAATTTCTAAGGAATTTGCCTCCAGTCTTCTCCATCATGACAGATACTTTTTCTTTTCTTGGTCTGGGTATTAAGTTCTGTATCTCAGAGATGTATGTCTTCACCCCCCGCTGAGGTAAATGTGATCTTGTTTCCAGCGCTGACATCAAAGTTGTATGAGGATAACTCAGCCTGTTTATCTGTTGCTGTCTTCTTAGGAAAAATGAGACAACAACTTGTTTCAGAGAAGGAAGAAAAAAAGTTTCTGTTCCCAACAGACCAAAGCTGGAAAGTTTATGAACAGAGGTTTATAACAGAGTTTATGATGTCCTGAAAAGTTCCTTTTTTCCCCATGATTTGATTCCAAGAGTGAAAGAGGTTATGTTTTTGGTAGCATTGGTTTGTTTGTTTGTCTGTGAACAACTTTACGGAGAAAGTTACGGATGGATTGACCCTAAATTTTCACCAGAGGTGCGTCTCAGCCCCAGGACGATCCCATTAAATTTTGGTGGTGGTCCGGATCACCTTCTGGATCCAGGAATTATTTGAAGGATTCTTTGTCATTGTGAGATAGGGCAAATTTTGGAATTTTTGCATTTAACTCTATAAAAATGTCCAGAGTCTTTAGTAAAAAATGACACAAAAGGATCTCAATGAGTTTTATGAGGTTTCAAAGGTTGATCCTGATCCAGACAAAATTCTGAATACTGTGATCCAGAACACACAAAAATAAGGGTGCAAGGGATTTTGAATGCTGAAAGATAACCAATGGGCGACACAGTGGTGTAGTGGTTAGCACTGTCGCCTCACAGCAAGAAGGTCCTGGGTTTGAATCCGGGTCAGGGCATTTCTTGTTTTAGGAACATTATGAACAGTGAACATACCAGTTTAAACATAAATAAACGTTAATAAAAGACACGTAACAGTAAAAGTTTTGGTGTGAATCACAATATAAGGGGGGACATGAGCTGCTTGGCGGAGGTCTGCGCTCTCTCTCTAGATTCGTCACACATAAAGTGAAATATTCAAGACTTAATTTTGTTTTAATCTTGATGATTTTAGTTTATAGCTCACAAAAATCCACTTTTTAAAAAATTGGAATATTGTGGGAAAAGTCCAGTTTCTTGTCAGTTATTCAGTCGTGAAAACAGATTTAATCAGTTTATTAACTTTGAGCACCTGTAAAGATTTACTTTGCTTTTATTCTCTCTCTCTGGCTCAGTACACACAACAACACCCATGGTAATCTCAGTAACACATCCGACGTTATGACACAGGGATAAGTTTTCTGTGTCAGACAGCTTTGTTAGCACCTTTTCAGGTCACTAATCATGAACACATTTACACTCATAATCATACATAGATTGCAAGATATTTATGTCCACATCTCTGCCAACTTGCTTTGATGATAATTCCTCCAGGTTTGTTTTGCTTTTCAGGAAGAAAAAGTTCAGGTTAAGACAAAAAAAAAAAGAAATCTGTTAAAGTCTCAACCTGAAAAATATGGGACACTAGCTTCTATGTGTTTATCAGATTTAATCAAATTTCATACGGTTCTAGCTCAGCCCTTTATCAACATACCTGCACAATATTCTGTGTGCTTATGAGGGGTCCCAGCCTGAACATTAAATTTAATTCAATCTACTTTTATTTAGGATTGCCCCTTGAGATGTAGTATCTTGTTTTCGAGGGGGTCCCCTCCCATCTTAAAATATTATTTAAAAAAAACACAGCCCCACCTTTAGACAACAGGGCATTACTGCAATCACAAACACCAGTATCAAATCTGGCTGGAATCTGACTCACAGAATTCTCAACAGTCTTTGCTGCCTGATTAAATCTGCTCCAAGTACAGTCTTATACATAAGACCTTCCTTTTATCCTCCTCAGTACATTTGTCAATACTATACACAGTTGCCATGGCAGCGCTTTTATTGCGGCAAACAGGAAGTTGTATTTTCAAGGCTTAAACTACTTGTAGAGTTACTAGATGTGATAAAGCATTTGATACTTTTATAGTTGGTGGGTGTGGCATTTATGATGTAATTAGCCACGCCCACATTTTTTTCCTCAAATTCAGCCCTTTTAGCCAATCAGCCTGGAAAGTGATGCTTTGCTGGGCTTATTGATCTTGGATCATTTGCCAAACCCAGACATACAGCATCAGCATCAAGAGACTGCTCAGTGCTGCTTTAACTGTTTTGTTTGTCTTTTTTTTTAATTGGTAAGAGTCGAGTGATTTATCTGTGGTTAATTTAGAGTCCCCGAGAGCCCATGTGGGAAAGAAGAGCGAAGGAGAGATCAGCCTGTCCCCACTTCATTATTTATCTTTGAGTTTGTCAGACAGAGCCAGCTGAGAGGCCACGCTCGAACCTCCACTCTCTCAGCTTTGTTCTCTCAGGTTCTGGCTCAGTGCACGTTATTACTCTGCAGAGGAGGAGGTGTTCATCAGCCACAAACTCCATCTTAGATTGTTGTCAGCTCTACGGAGGGATATGGCCCATATCATTGTTCGGCGTGTTCCTCGGTATCTCTGCCACTTTCAGTTATTGATGAAAAAAGGGGGCGGCTGAAACCAGGAGGAAGCTGTTGAGTGGGACAATAAAAGAGAGCCACTTAGAGTTTAACCCTGAGTTGATAGATATCCTCTTGAATTATTTTTTTCTTACTTACTAAGAGTTTGATGAAAAAATAAATACTACTTTTACTATTATGAAGTAAGCAGGAGCAGCTTAAACTATCTTAGCTTGGCTCTTTAGGACGTAAACAGGGGCGTGTGAATTGGTGGGAAAGATATTTGCAATTTAAATAGTTACAAAATTCACCTTTAAGCATGTCTAAAGCTCAGTTATTCTCCAGCTCCATCCTGGTGTTTGATGAGATGTGAAACAACAACATTAGGGTTGTGTCGTTCATGAACGATTCGTTCATAAGAACAGAACTGCTGAGTGAACGACGTTAATGGAATCACTCCAAGACCTGATTCGTTCCTTTCTCAGTTCAGTTGAGTTCAGACATGAGCGTGGTCAGGTCGAGAGTGGAACTGCCGCCTTTGACTCGTTGGCGAACGACACACAGCCAGCCAGCGAGTGAGCAGGCGGGAGTAGAATGACTTCCGAAAGACTTGAGACAGGCAGAGGAGAGAGGGTCGTAGCGTCGTTCACGAACTGCTGAGCATCGGTTCGTTC